ACATACTACAAAAATAGTACGTCATATTATTTTTCGTACTATTTTTGTAACATTAATAATAATTCATTATAATCTCCAATGGACCTGGACCCACTGAATGAAATAAACTAACTAAAAAACAGGTCGACTCGGGAAATTTTACATTTTTAATATCTAGCATTTAATAATCATATTTCGAAATTGCAAGCGCATCCTTTTTGATGATACAATCCAACGCGCAACAAAGTCCAATTTTGAAACAAATCGTAGTATTCGTCCAAAGACTATTCACGGAGCGTGTGTCTGCAAGAACGAATGCCTGCGAAGATTAGCAATTCCGTCGAAGATCCTTTTAGCCAGGCAACGTGCGCGGTGAGAGAAACGTTCACGGCGGTGCAAGTAACGGACTTCATTTTCTTAAATCAATTGATCCGTAAGAATCCCACCCCGCGATACTCGTCGCCCATAATAATCACCCGTTTCACGCGTATATCGCCCCCTCTCCGGCTACTTAGAATTCGTTGCGCACGACCTCCCCCTCCCCGCGATTTTCTAATAACCCAGGCGATCGAATCGATCGAGCAAAATCCTAGACCGGTATTCCACCCGATTCAACCCGACACACACGTATGCATATAACCGTAAAAACCGTAAAAACGCCCAACGGCCGAGCGCTGATAACGCTTTATGCGAAAGAAACGGTTCCGCGAGCTTCGTCGCGGTGGCGCGTTTGCATGCACACAGAACGCGTGGCCGGAAAGGCGACGTTGTTTGCTTGTTCTCGAGAGGCAAGCGTTTCTCAGGGAAAATCGTATCTCGAGGCCTCTGCCTTTGGCGACACACTCGGCTGCAAGAGGTGTGTCGTTCAAACGCGACGATAGACGAACCTCGTAAACGGGGAGGGAGGCTTGAATTTCGTGTGAGAATGAAAAAACTAACCTGAGGAATCATCGAACGGTAAAATGTTTGAGCACGACAGTCTCGTTTCGTCAGAAAATATTCGCCGCGAGAAGCTGTTAAAAGCTCGATGGGTAATATTTTTCAGCGATGGTTGGCATGTAACAAGTTTCAGTGTTTCTTTTTAAGGAGGATGCGTGGGAGAACTTTGAGCCAATGAATTATTTGAATTGTTAGATGAATGAAAAATCAACAGGGGAATCTTCAGACAATGACAAATTTTTTTCCATTTTTTTATTGAAAGATTTAAAGCTCGATGGGTATTCTTAATAACTTGGTATTTTCAGTAATCTGATAACTTTTAGTAATTTAGTGTTTTTTAGCAATGGTTGCGACATAACGTCCAGGATTTTTTTCGAAAAATTTTCGAAAAATATCAATTCTAGTACAAGAGAGTATAATGTTCGAATGGAGTAAAATCGAAATCCGCAGCGAACAGGGAATATAACCGAATATGCGTTCGACGAAAGTCGAATACCGCAGTAAAAGGGTTAAGGAAGATGCGCCTCTATTGTCATGGAAAACAGAGTGGTGAAAGTGTTATAAGCAAGAGAAATACTATCTTTTCTTTTTTGAAGTTCCGTGAGAAAATCTACGATATCGAAGAATCATTGTCGATACCGAGGGGAAACAGACAAATAAAAAGCCTCGATCTAGGTGAGTGAAAAATCAACTGTCAGAGAATATTCCAACGATAACTTCACATCGAACGTCAAATCGTTTCGTTTCACGACAGATTTTTCCACGCTAGAAGGTTTTAACCTCGATACTATGCCATTTGACATCCAGAATTTTTTTTTTTTTAAGGAAATATGTTTCTATTGTTACCAAGAATAGATTGGCAATAGCACTGTGGGATAAAATAATATATTTCTTCAGAATCTATGATACTCGACAGAAATTGTGTAAACAATATATTTTTGAAGTATTTTTGAAAATATTTTGTGAAACTCTACGAAAATCTATACTGAAAATTACTTAATATTGAAAATATAAAATATAAAATATATTACGTGACAAAATGAAATATTTTTTGAAGTTTTGTGAGAATCTACGACACTGAATTGTCGATGTAAGTGAAAAATGACAAATCGAGGAATCCTCCGACCATAATTTCGAATATAACATCATTTCTGTTCGATAGATTTTTCACACGAGAAGGTTTCAACCTCGACAGCTCGGATTTAACATTAAGGGGAATGTGCCTCTATCGTTATCGGAAAGTCACTCAAGTGATACTGAAGAGACTGGAATCTCGTAAGAGTCATTGTCGACACACCGAGGGAAAAGTCACGGCCATAAGGAAATGGCCGAAATCGAACAAGCGTTTGCTGGCTTGTGGCCATGGACCAACTAGTATCTCGCAGAGATAATCGTATGTTAGACTTTTTGGCTGACAGAAGAGATCTGAAATCGCTTTGTCAACGATTTTTAACTTCAGTGAAACTGGACCAAGCAGCTTGTCATAAATGTGCACCTATATTTTTCATCTAATCGACCGTAGATCTCACATTTCGTATCTCATTTCTGACAACTTGAAGTTCAATTTTTTTCAAGACGTAAGAAAAAAAGTACAAATGTTTTGTTGTATTTTATGTTTTTAAAAAAACTAACACGTAATATTGTATTATGTTATATTATATTATATTATAACACGTAATATTTTACATTTTAAAATTCTAGCATGAAATATTTCGCTACGCTTACCTTTCACACTTCAAAATTCAATTTTTAAAGGAAGAAGGGAAAAACGCAAGGATATTAATTAATGTATAATATTTTTCCACAGTACACGTCTCATCTTTCACACTTCACGTCTCATTTTTCAAAGCTCGATTTTTAAAGGAACAAGGAAAAATTTCACACGGTACTATAATTAATGTGTAATATTTTGCTGCCGCGTTTTATGTTTCACAGTCTAAAAATCAGTTCTTAAAGAAACAGCGAGAAAAAGAAAATGACACAAGATACTAATTAACGCGAACTATTCTGCCACATAACATTTCAAAATTCGACTCTCTCAAAAGTAACGAAAAGAAAATACATAAATAATATTAATTAATAGCACCTTAATTAATAGCTACGCTACATCTCAAACTTCATACCTCACTCGACACATCTTTGAAATCGAATTCTCAAAGCAGACGGACGATGTATTAATCAATAAGCACCCGTTGTTCTGCCACGAAAAAGAAAATCAGAACTGAAAGAAACTAGAGTGGAATCAAGGACCGGAAGTGGACAGAGGCACGCTGAGTACATCGATTTGATGCTGGACCCATCCGTTTACTGTACGGTACGATAGACGATCCAGCAGAAAGAAAAAGAGTAAATCCATTGATCTGATTTTCCACCGGAGACTACGTTTACGCGGGACGAAAACGGCACAGCTGACGGATTACTCGGTAAATACTGAATTTCGCAAGGTCTACTCACGTGCCGGCAGAGTGTCTCTCGTTTTTTATCTGTTTTATTGCAACTTTCTACTTTCTTGGTACGTCGATATTTTCCGACAGTAAGAAAATCACGAATAACATTTCCAGGAGAGAGTAATGTAAATCTTGTGACATTGTAAAGCAAAATTGGGTGGACAGGCAAATTAGATAGGCAAAATTAGATGTGAAATTTTATAAAAATTCCTCGTTTTGAACAGATACGCGAAATTCCAAAAAAGAGAGAAAAATGTTACACAGTGTGTGGAAACGAAAAATGTGAGAATTTTTATCCGGAGGAAAAATCTCGTATCAGGATTAATTATATTCCTGAAAAATATGAATTTTTATATTCGTAAATAGGAGCGAAATGTTTCATTTCTATCGAATTTAATTGCAATGAGCATTATAGGTATATACCCTTAAGCATTCATTACTTCGTTCATAAAAGCAAATTTTCCACTCCATTTTACATCATCTATCGAACTATAATGAATCCACTATTGTGTTTCATGGTTAATCGAAGATCAACAGAGTCGATTTCCGTATCTTCTTTCGTTAGAATAAAAAAAAATTATTAATCTTTTTAAAAATATGATAAAAGTATCAGTAGATATTATATAGAAAGCACTGTGCTTTAGACAATTTATAAATTTTTTTATATTACGTATACTAGTACAATTTCACACTTTCGTACAAGCCTAGTGATTTAAATTTAAATTAGAATAATAACGATATTATTTTAATTTAAATTATTATTACGATAAAATGTTATTACGATAACTTAAATTAGAACAACTAGTTAAATCTTCCATAAGCCTAGTCGCAAGCTATTTAAAACAAATGCTTTTTTCGATTCACTGTATTATACTTGCGAATTAGATTGGTCAAAAATTAAAAACTCCAGCTTTGTGAAATCTATCACACAAGATTAATTATCGACGACAAAGTAAATCTGACATCTGACAGCCAATAGGAATGAGATAACGTGCAGGTAACGTTAACAACGATGCCACGAAGAAAGCTATTATCTTTGGCGAACTTATATGACATGGTCGTGAAAAGTTTTCCTTAAGGCATCAGCTTATGCTTGGAGACAATTTTCACGAGATGCCTTTAATAGTCTCTTCTTATCCATTCCTCCAGGGTTTCGAATTTTGTTGCGCTCAAGTAGCGAGACGCAAAACAACGCCGACGAGCAAGTGAAAGAATCGACGCGACAGTCAATATTAAATTTACACTATCCATTAATAGAGAGATAGATTTGCATGTAGTGTATTTCAGAGGGAAATAGCACAGTAAAACATAGTAAATTACTCGATTCCAAATTTTTTAAATTATTCTAAATTACTTCATTTCGGAGAAAAATAACGTAGCTTGTATTGTTCTTAAAATTACAAAATATTTTAAATTATCCTATTTCTAATTACCCTATATATATGTATATTTCTCAGAAAAAAAAACATAGATTATTCCATTTCAAAAATTCGAAAACCATTTCAAACTGCTCCACGTTCCAAAGAAGAATAACAAATAGCAAACGCAAATTGTCCAATAACTTACAACTCGCAATTTAAAATCCCGCAAACACGCAAGAGTATAAAAGCAAGAAAAAAATACTCGATCAATGAATCACTCACCCTTCTTCGACGCATGGAAGGAGTCATCTTTTGGCACGTATTGTATATCGTATTCCAGCGTCGTCTTCGGCAGGATAAGCCTCTCCTTGTTGATCTTGTACACGGCATACTTGAAGGCCAACTCCGTACTGCTATCCTTTTGGTCATGAGTGAATATAGCACCTGGAAAGCAATCGAACGGGTCAGACACGATCCGAGTGGTTCGTTAAATATCGGTTTCGCGACGGTAGCGGAATTCACGATTAAAATCCACCTTTTTCACGCCAACATGCTCAGAAACTGCTGACCCCGCTTATTCTTTCTCCAATATGAAGGACAAGTGCTCCGCCGCACGTTCTATCGGTAAACCAATATTTTGCATTTCTTATTAAATTCTACGAAACGATCCCAATTATTTGGAATATCTCTTTTTCTTTTTGGTATTCTCTCGACATATACTTCAGGCCGTATGATGATATAGTAGTTGTTGAACGATTCAATTTATTATAGAGTTTGACTTTTTATAACGTGAAAAAGTGGCGAAGGCGTTTCTCGATGGCTCGACTCGAGCGATTTGCATACCTACGAGAGTCCATCGTGTAGCTAATGGCGGATACTTTGACTTCTCTCGCGAGTCAAGAGGCAAAGCAAACTCGTTTACCAATTTGCTGATCGATGCTTTGAAACCGCGTGTAGGACTATGTCAAGGACTACCGACGATACTGGTATTGTATTTGATACATTTTTCAATTTTTAATTCTTGCTTTAAATCTCTGGTCCTTTCTCTTTATATACGACAGGTCTCAAAAAAAGAAAAAAAAAAAAAAAGAAATATAGGAAATAAGTTAGAAAATGAAATAAGTGAAACGTATTAACAACTATTTTCGTTGCTTGAAATATGTTTTTTAAATCACGTTGGTAACAATACAATTTTAATTTCCTTTTTCGTAAGTGAAGGATCAATTTCGTAAATGAGTGGACCAATTTTCGTTTCCGTATATTTTTAAACGCAGCTCGATAAAATCATTTAGTTTAGGAGATATTTTACATTTAATTTCAATTTTTTATGAGGTCTTTCTAAACAGAAGATCTTAATCTTTAAGAGGTTTCGATTTTTACAATTTAAAATAACATCTGTAGCACGGATGAAAATAATGAAACGAAACAATTGATGTACAATGATGTAGAATGTAAAAATCTACATTGCCATACAGTGGTAATAATAATACATTACTACATAACATAGTAGTATTATTATTAATAACTGTTTTTTTAATAATACTACTATGTTGTATAGAAATTAATAGAAACATCTTTGAAAAAAAATCGATTTACGCTTTAAACTGAAATCAACAACAACTAGATTGTTGTACGATTTTTTTCTTTACAAAGTTACGGCACATTAAAATATCTACAATTTTTCGTCATTAGTGCTACAATTACAGAACCACATTTAGGAATCTGATGTCTGGCGAGGCCTCGTGTCTGACGAAGTCTCGAATAAAATTAATCCGCGAAACCTTTTTCGCGATAGAACGTGTCCCGTGCAATTCCCGCCACGAAGTTCAAGTTTCCGTTTCTGCGCGAAAGCCGGTTCTCCTGTTCGCAAATCCGATCAAACGGCGAACAAAAGAACGCCACGCTTAAAGCGGCCGACGCCAGGCACGAAACGAAAACAGAGTTTTCGAGCGGCACACAGTCGGTGACGAGACGTCTCGGTGAATTTTATTTCTCTATTGTCAATAGTGTCGCTGTTCGAGAAATCGAACGACCACAATCAGCCTACGCTTCCCCTTAGACAGGGGAATCCAATTGCGATTTTCAATTTCCTCCTTGCTAGAAGATAACGCGAAAGGTGCCTGATCTGGAGAGAAAACTCGATCAGTACGTTTTTCAAAACAAGAAAGAAAAGAAGGGAAAGAAGAAAAGGGAAAAGGAAACATGCTGAGGAACACTATCCTCCATGTATCTTCATTTCACGAAAAATTTCCACTGAATCCACACCCATTTTACGTTCACCTCGAGACCTCCCTTCCCTTTCGTGTTATTTATGAGGTCTCAGGTCTCGCTGTTATCAGTCTCTGTTTCGTTCGTTCGCATAATTAATTCTCGCGACGAGGGTGCACGGGAGCTTTCGATCCTAAGGTCGCAGCGATTAATCTAATTCTACGATTCGGCGAGCGAGAAGAGTCACGATCGATCGCAGGTGTCTCTGTCAAAATTTAAAATTTTTAGAAAAGGAGGATTTCAAATATTTTAAATACTTCTTGATTTATCCATGGAAATATGTAACTTCACAGATTTACAAAATCTGTAAAAAACCATACACGTACACAGAGAAATGAATGAAATTGTAACATTCTGTAATTACGACAGCAATAAGAACATTTTCTATAATTTGCACGTGGCAATTTTCTGACAATTTATTCCAATTTATTTCTTAATACATTAACTAACAATATAATATGTTACATTTAATGTGACTGTAAATGTAAATATAATTTATTGTTGTAATTTACTGCACTGTACATTAATAACAATAAATATAATATAATATATTACATCGTTAGTTAATGACGATGTTTCTAATATTTGTTCACAGACAAAAAAAACAAAAATTAATTTCAACAGATGACAATATAATACATTAAATAACTTGTGCTAGTAAATCATTATCCGGAAAATGTTTAAAATTCGCAGATCCGGCATCCAGCCAGACAAAGGTTAACAATATTTTCAAGTGGAAACTTACAAATTTTCTCATTTCCTCCGTAATAAACCAAATAAAATACGAGTATTGTCGATACAACGCGCAACGATTGTCCTTCGTCGCTAAAAAAATTTTCATCTCGCGCAATAAGGCAGTTACCAATTTCGAAGCTGCACGATTCTTCAGCGTTGCTATCTGCAATCCGGACGCCTGCGGCTGTGACAGTGACAGACGCGCGAGAGAGGGAGAGACCGAGGTAATCGGAATGCTTTCATCAGCTCTCCTCTATCAACGAGAAGCTCATTCACCGCTTCCGTTGCTAATTCAGCCAACTACCAGGCCGTGTATCGCAAATAACCCGTAGGTTCTAGGTCAGAAACGTTTCACAGGATCATTCTTTCTAACTGCAGCCATGCCCTCCAGCCAGAGTACACGACTGGAGGGTAGTTGGTCAAATAGAGGGTCTCTCGAATGTCCTTCGCAGACTTACCTCCAAAGAGAGTACGACAGATCCTATTTTTGGATCCTATTTTTTTTATGCCACCATTTCTGTTTCATTGCAGACGCGAGAAAGGGGGGAAGGGATGACCTCTGTCAGAAGAATCGAGGCCATCTTTGAGACACGAGGAGGATGTTACTCGTTCCCAGAGATTTCACGCGGCACGATTCTTTCAGAATCCTCTTCGGAGGGGCTGGCACGTTTCGTTCGCCTTTGGATGGACATCGAATGGTGAATATCTCGGAGCTACGCTCGAAGGTTGGCGATACTGGATGCTTCATTGACCATCTTCAACCGAAAGATTCTCTTAAATATTAGAACTTTGATCTTCTTCTTCTCTACGAACGTTATCTGCCGTTTTGAAACGCGAAGATCGGCCTCGACATCTTTTCTCTTTCTTATGGTACGGAACCTACACAAACGATGGGGAGAGAGAGAGAGTTGGAATAGAGAGGAAAGTTCTCGCAGAAAGTGTTGGAAAATTTTCTGGAAAAGCGTAGCATACAAAGCAAAGCAAAATTCCTTTTTACAAGTAGTTATTAGAGGTTTCTGTTTCACGGTGTAAGTATATCTCAATTCACTCTCAATTAGTATTTTTACAACACGAATACTCGTGTATCTTCTATCACACTTGTTCGTGTATATTTAAAAATCTTCATACGCAAATAACTTCATCGTAAGTGAATGGACACAGAAGTGAGAATCTATCATTTACTAATTCATTTACTCAATGAAGAATTGGCTCGAGGAAAAATTTTAGATAAGACTCGCCATTTCACCGAGGATGGAAAGCTATCACATTAACAAAACATTTTAAAATTATTACCTTTATCGAGCGAACACTGAATAATCTGATAATCATTATGTATTGAAAAATCGAAAAACTTGTAAAACAGAGAGAAACAAGAAATAAATGGGAAAAAAAAACTACATGTTACATCTGAATTAATTAACTTGCGACGGACGAGCAGCGTCTGTGCGTTATTTCGAATTTCAAAGGGACAGCGAGAGTTTTTAGAAACGTGTTTTCCAGTGTGTATATATATACATAGAAACATACAACGTGATGGCGGTAATCCCGAATGAAAGTACGCGAAACAAAGATCCTCCAAATCTACTAACTAGCCAAAAGGAGAACCACCAACATCAGCTTTGTAGCGAACCACTCTCTATCTCTACTCGTTCGTTTTTCTCTTCCAAACCTTTAACTCCTCCGGCGGCGTTTTCCGGCGCGTAGTTTTGTTTCGTTCGTCGTTCAGCCGGCTAATCCATTTATCGGCGAATAACTCGCTTCTTTTTCGTCGACTCGACGTTCATTCGTTGGCCATTCGGTGTAGCCCGGTTTCTGTACCGGCGGTCGTCCACAAACGGCGCGGAGGAAACGCGGACCAGCTTTCTTTTAGCGGTTTCTATCCGGGCCCTCGAGAGAGAGAGCGCCATCCCCTTAACGGCCGTCATTTTATCATTCGTCGCTTAAATGTGGAGCAAAGAGCTTTCCGCGGGATGAAGCGCGCGGATTGTTTCCTACGGGAGTTTCGCTAACGGCCAAGAATCATTGCACGCTCGCGAGTGAAACGTCTTCGGTTGCTCCCTTTTGCTTGTTTGGGGGAGGTTGGTCCCTCGACGTTGTGACTCGACTTGATTTTCTCTTGTAGGTATCTATTTTAATTGATTGCTCGATTGCAGCGTAACTTACGGAAACGTTCGAACGTAGCTTAGAGAAATCTGTTCGTGAATTTAGTGAATCTGTTCTGTAACGTTTTACCATTTACATTCACAAGCGCCGGATATATATGATAGGTAAATCATATTAAAAATACATTTAATACACTTTAGCCAACGAGACGAGCTTTTTCTATTCGACAGTGGAATATTTACGTTACAAGAAACGATTGTAACAAAGAATCTTTCTTAATCTTGTAAAAATTTAAGAGAGTTAGATTTTTGTTTGAGACATTAAAGTCTCCAATGATA